AGTGAAGGAAGCCCTAGTAGACCAGGCAGATGACTTCAGTGGCCGTGGTGAAATGCCTACAATAGAGAAGAATTTCCAAGGTCATGGTAAGTAGCAGCAATAACAACAGGAATTATTTCAGTGGACACTGTGCTGAAGGAACTCTGATAAGTGATTCATGGGAATCACCTACCTTGCCTCCCTTGAGAAGGTATGGACACTCTGCTAATATTGAAGTGCAAATGCTGATGGTGAGAAAGGTTAGGTGGTAGCACACAGTATGTCTTCAAGCTCCAGAAACTGGACTATAAAGTGCTTGTAGTGTTATTTTCATTCTTACCTTTAATGAGTGACTGCGTGACATTATTTGTGTACCCCCCCAAGCACCTTCACAGCCAAGCTCAGTTCCTATCTGCCCATATCCATATGGATATATAACAAAGGACTCTTCTTGTGTAGTGTTATCCACGTACCCACTCCTACATTTGTGCATTCTTCAAATGCAGGCAGATTCACCTCCCTCTTTTCCAATACACATTTTCTCAATTCTGTCCATTGTTTCATGAATCCACCAAAATATCTTTATTACCTTTTGTATGCAAACATCTTTCCATCCTATTATTCAGATATCTTTCAATGTTCTATTTATCCATGAAAACCAACTTTATATCATTCACACAACTATTAATCTTTCCATCCACCCACTCTTCTATTCATCCATCTATCCATTCATAGACCTTTTCTTCCAGCCACTATCTGTTCATCTTAATGTCTCTATCCACTAACATTTCACTCAGCCATTGAGCCTTCCAGCCACCCAGCAAGCCATACAGACAGACAGACACCTGTTCAGCACACCATGGTTATTGCAGTCCAGAGCACTGGCCTCTCCTCCAGGGAGCCTGAATGTGATTCCCAGCATTCATCTGGGGCTCACAGCCATCTATAACTCCAGTTTCAGGGGATGTGATGCTCCCATCTTGCCTCCACCACCCCCACGCCTCCTTTCACTTATCAATATATTTTAACATGGTCTTATCAAATTTCCAAGAAGTTCACCAACCAACACATCAGGCGATTTCTACTGTAGTCTTCATGCAAAGTAACTCTTTTGTACAGGTACATTAATGCACAGTTGTGAGTGTCTGTACACGCACATACATGTTTTAAAAATCCAACTGGAACCCAGAAAATAGAATTAGTATTTCCACTTAAGAAATGCTCTGTGTGACATTCCATCCTTACCTCAGGTGCTTCCCTAGGCATTAAGCAGGAAACTTACTCAGCCACAGCTCGCTCTCCTCTAAGAAGATTTTCCTGCTCACCCTGATTATTCCTAGCCTTATTTCCTTTTCCCTCAGTCTGGACTATTTTGGAGGGAATCTTGATTTCATTGAGTCTGGAAGGATGAGCCTTTATAATCTTGTCTACCACAGACTTGAACACAAAAAGGGGAGAGGGGACAAGAGCCTGACCATTGACATCCTGGCAGTTTAGGTATGTCCAGTGGAGAACGATGGAAGATTCTCCGGCGTTTTTCCCTGACTGTCCTTCGAAACTTTGGGATGGGGAAGTGGAGCATCGAGGAACGGATCAAGGAGGAAGCTGGCTACCTACTGGAGGAATTCCATAATACCAAGGGTATGGAGACCACATTGGGTGACTGGGTGTTTACAGAGAGCTTAGTTTGGGTGGCAGTGGCTTTGGTGAGAGAAAGACCTGAAATAGGAAAAGATGAAAACCATTATGGGTTCATAGAAATTCCCAGTGAAGTTCCATGTTAAAAATCAACATGGAAGATTCTGAGAGATGGCTTGGCCAGAAACACTCATCAGTGGATCTCAGGGGTCTGAAAACTCAAGAAACCATACAGGATTCCAGTGTTGGGTGAGCTTACAACTTTTTTCTAGAAAAAGGATCAAATGCTGCTATGTTATACGTGCTTTTTTGTGACGAAGGAAACAGCATAGAACTTCAACTCATCACTATT